CCACTACTTCTATTGGAAGCGTGAACGGATAACACATGAGAATTTGAATTTTGATGTTAGGGGTTAAAGGGTTAATAACAGCCCTGTTAACAACTGGTAACTGGCAGAAGGTTAAGCTTTATAGGTTCTTCAAAGATTCTTATTTTCTGAAGAAAAAAGTTACATTGTAGCTAACAGAATTAAGTGGTATTCAGCCTTATCCTTATATAAAATCTGCAAACCAAGTAAGTATCTATGTGAAAATGAATATAAAAATAATTGAAGCATCGATTGCATGAATTTTGAAGTCCTTCTTTAATGTCATATATGTTTTTATCTTAGAAGACAGGAACCTGTTCAAAAATTTAACGCTCAAAAGGTTCTTGTATATAAGTGATCTAACTGGCAACTTTCGCCTATCAGGTCTAGGATGTTCATTAGGCATCAGAGATCAGAGAATTCTGCTACCGTTCGGTAGCCTATGACTATAGCCTAGGCATGGAGCTTCTTTCAAAAATAATCTTTGGTGAGGCTGCACCTTTCACCTACTACTAGAATTTTACATGAAAACAGTGCCGTAGCCAGACCAAACGGCCAACCGAGGCAGGCGGGAGTTGCTAGGGGGGTTCGGGGGCATGCCCCCCCCCCACCCCCCCCGAGAAATTTTGAACTTTAGTCTCTCGGAAATGCGATTTGCAGCGTTTTCTGGGCCTTTCGGTAACTTTTTTTCGAGTTAATTTAAGTGGAATTTTTTTAAAAATTTTAAATAAACATATTAATTAAAATAAAACAAAACTTAAGAAAAAAAATAAGATGAAAAAATTCGTATTTATCATTCATTTGACTCAACCTTTTAATTAGTGATCCTGAAAAAAAAAAAACAACTAACAACAAAAAAGACAATTCCTTGAAGGATATTTAGCTTACAATCTCAAATCTTCTACTCATCGCCAGAAAAGTTCGTTCTCATTTAACACTTTCGCGCGAGTCATGTTCTGAATAGCGAAAGCAAATCTACGCAAAAAAATTTTACTGGACCGTACGTATGTTAGGTCAAAGAGACCCCGGACTCATTCAAAAAGGCGTCATCCAATTTGTAGAAACAGCGTCAAGCGCCGCCCACCCGAACCATAAGGCCAGTAGTGTTTAATAATTAAAATTATAGCTTTAATGTAAAACTACTGAAACACCAAAAAGGGAAACAGCTCATAATTTACTCATGCAGTGTTATTCCAAAATAAGAGTACCTGCACAAGACCGTCAGATTCTTTGCACTTGTTTCAGATACAAAAATCAGTCTCTTGAAGAAAACATATTCCGATTCATAGATGATTTCTACACTATGTTAAACTTACAAAAATCGCGTTAACGTTCTCATTAGTAGCGAGAAAAGTTAATTACGAGGTGTTAACGACCTCAATTATCACAGAAAACCATAGAGAACCATCAGGTTTTCAAACTAGAATTCTAATGTCCACAAATTTACCGCCTTCATTCTATTCGGAGCTCATATGTAAGACCAGAGTCTTGTAAGTCTAATGGAAAACGTAACGTTCGTGTATGCTTTAGCCACGGAACAAGAAAGACAAACCGAAGCACTAAAAAACCAGCAACAAAATCAGCTTAAGAAATATCGCCATGTTATCCAGAGGCAGAAAAAGAAAGAGAGAGCTTTCCTGTCTTTTAAGAAAGTTGAATTTCTTTCTAGACAAGAAACAAAGCTGAATGTATTGAGACCTTCTTGCGCTCGAGCAAGAATGGATGACAAGCTACCTGAGGTAACGAGAAAAGGAAGAGAGATTGCTCTTAAAAAAGGACTGCTTGCAACAGGCAATGAATTTATGAACGTGTTGCCATTATACCGTCAAAAAACACACATTGGTTCAGAGTTTGTTTCTTCCTGGCGAAGCGGGATCAGCTCAAACTCATCAGTAACGCAGAGAAAACCTTTAACTATACAAGGAGGTAATCGTCATCAAGCTAGAATGATTGTAAATCAAAAAGGACGAAACGGCAATTATCACCATGGAGAGAAAACAGCAATAAGCAGCTCAGTGACAAAGAAAATCCCAGGAGTTGTTGTTGACCATGGATCGCTGGAAAGACTGAAGATAAATTCACCTAAACACGACGGGGTACGTCACGTGGCGACAGGATTACAGAGTTTGAAGTTTTCGGACGACTGCAGCGATCAAGAAAAAGACGAAAACAATAAACAAAGGTCCAACAAAGGCCAAAAGTTACAGAGTGTTGATACAACGGTGAAAATGGCAACAGAGGGAACTGGAGCAGGCTGTCAGGTCAGCTGGGCTGTGGTAGCGCGATTAATTGGATTGAAAATGAAGTTTAAAAGACGTCAATTTCACGGCACATTTCAGGCACCGGAGTTAGAGGTGTTAGACCCATCGCTAAAGAGTGAGAGAAAAGTTGAGCAGGGACCTTCCAGTGATCCATTAAAAGGAGTAAGAGGCTGTAGATATCTGAGAATACCAGACATGACATAAGTAATTCAACTTGTTCGCAACTGTCATGAGAATGCGAGGGCACCTTCATTCACAATGCGTTGAATTGTTTGTCAGTGATCCAAAACTGGAATACAGAGAAAGTGAGCGAATGAGGTGCTACGTACATCTGGACACTGTTTCTCAATTAAAGAGATGAAGATAGTACAGTACAATTAGGCCCAAAATGAGCCCTCTAGCGTAAAAACGTTTGAAGGACATTCCCCATCGTATGCACTGAAAAGGACACACTGAAAATCTTCGGGCAGAACTGGCTGCCCGGACCCCGGCCAGACCGGTCAGTTTGTAATTACATAGGCTTGTTCCAAGAGTTTTTACTAGAAAAACATCTCCTTCGTGGAAACGTTTACTATTTAGGACCTGACTGATCTGGCTGGATAGTTTTGAAATTTACATTTTTCAACGGGAATGATCTGGCTGGTCAGTTCTGATAAATTGAAAGAGCCCTTAGTGACTTTGTTACTGCTTCGTGCTAAACAATTTAAATCATTAATAAAGCAAACAACCGCGAGTAAGAACCTGCAGTTTCCCAAGCCAACCAAAACAGGTTCTAACATACAGGGCTGTAACTAAGATTTCAAGTTGCTGGGTAAATACTTTAACAAGAAGATGGGGAATCAAGCATGCAGCTAGGGATTTCCTTTGGTACTTTTATTTCTTTTATTTTTCTATGTAAGTAGCCGGGCCTCACATTCATGGTAGCCAGAGGACATCCCAGGCACGCCCTAAGAGTGATCAGCATCAAATTTCTCCTTGTAATATCACTGCTTTATAAAACAGAGTGGTCGTGAGAGTTAAGGACATGATCACACAGAATGACTATAACTGAGACTTCAACAAATTCTCCCCACTACTTCTATTGGAAGCGTGAACGGATAACACATGAGAATTTGAATTTTGATGTTAGGGGTTAAAGGGTTAATAACAGCCCTGTTAACAACTGGTAACTGGCAGAAGGTTAAGCTTTATAGGTTCTTCAAAGATTCTTATTTTCTGAAGAAAAAAGTTACATTGTAGCTAACAGAATTAAGTGGTATTCAGCCTTATCCTTATATAAAATCTGCAAACCAAGTAAGTATCTATGTGAAAATGAATATAAAAATAATTGAAGCATCGATTGCATGAATTTTGAAGTCCTTCTTTAATGTCATATATGTTTTTATCTTAGAAGACAGGAACCTGTTCAAAAATTTAACGCTCAAAAGGTTCTTGTATATAAGTGATCTAACTGGCAACTTTCGCCTATCAGGTCTAGGATGTTCATTAGGCATCAGAGATCAGAGAATTCTGCTACCGTTCGGTAGCCTATGACTATAGCCTAGGCATGGAGCTTCTTTCAAAAATAATCTTTGGTGAGGCTGCACCTTTCACCTACTACTAGAATTTTACATGAAAACAGTGCCGTAGCCAGACCAAACGGCCAACCGAGGCAGGCGGGAGTTGCTAGGGGGGTTCGGGGGCATGCCCCCCCCCCACCCCCCCCGAGAAATTTTGAACTTTAGTCTCTCGGAAATGCGATTTGNTTGAGTTAACGTACGTAGCCCCTTGAGATCGATGATATGGTAATTTTTTCATAGTATATTGACTGAATTGCTGAATTCTTTGTAATATCATGATGCGTTAAAAATATCCGATGATCGCTTATGTAAAATAAAAATGATCGGCGAAATTCGTCAAAATTTTACCAAGGCGAGTGCCTCGGTTGGCCTCATACTAGCTACGGCGCTGGAAAACCCCATAGGCTCTAAAAAACAAGGCTCTTACTTGCAGTTTTAACTGTATTTCATGCAACAAGTTGCAGGGACAACAGGACAGGTTTTTGTAAAATAAAAATGGTAACGAAAATGAAAGGAGACTATTATCTGCAACATGTATGCAGTACCTCATTGAAATCCCACTTATACAACGTAATGACAATTATCTGAAGAAGAAAACTATTTCTAAGCAAACAAACAAATGACAGTTTCAATAATTTTGCTGCTTTTAGGTACATGAACACAAAAAGGCCATCCTTGGATGATGCTACATATGCACGCTTTCATTAAAAGACCCTTCAACCGTTTTTTGTTTCCACTTGACTTTTGTTAAAGGCCAGTAAGCAAATATCCATTGATATTGCTGGGAAGAGCACCTTAAAGTTGGGAAACTTACCAAGCTTGAAGGTGATACGTCCACAGAGAGTGAGGATATTGTACCACAGTCACTACATTGTAAATTTTAAAGACGTCTGTAATTGGCCCCCACTTTACAAATGTCTGTAACATAGAGCTATATCCTTGGTGGTTTTCAACAAATAACTTTCAAACTTGGCAACTTTGCTGATATTTTAAGGCATTTTTCCAGCTGTGTTGATGGATTTTACTACCTGGTTCCAGTCAAACTGTGGAAGGGTTTATTCTGCAGCATTTGTGAAAGCTGTTCATGCACTGCTTATTAGTATTTAATTTACAAAGTAAAAAAACGTTTCTGCAAAGTTACGGCACATAAATACAAAAGTCATCAGTAGAAGAACTCATAATATCCTCGAGAGCCGTATTCTGTAGCAGGTTTGTTACGATCTTCATATCCTCTGTGACGATCATCTCGATAGCGTCCACCATATCTGGACCAAATAACAAAGGAAATCATAAATGACTTTTGTTTGTTTGGTGCATTTATACTGAAATACTAATACAGTTGAACTTCTAACTGTGACCACCTCTCATAAACGACCACCTCCCGTAAGTGATAATGCATTTTGCCCTCTGGTGACCAGAAATTTGTACTTGCTCACCAGTTGGTGCCGATAGCAAAAAGTTAATTTTGGACCCTGATATTTTGTGGGCAATTTCAATACAAAAATTATTCCACTGGCAGTTGATGGATACAAGACAATTATAGCCACCTCGGCACCACATGCCTTGTTGGCTATCTAACATCTCATATCCCATGCACACTCATGGAATAATTTATTATTAACTATAACCTAAAAATTTCATGCAATACATTCTCTCCAAAAAAGTAGTTGGTCGGGCTTCTCTTCCTAAAACACCGCTTGCAAGGCAACTCTTATAAGCAGTGTTCTCCTTAAATTTTAGCTCAGCAGGTAAGGGATCATTCATGGCCGGTAAGGCAAAAAATATGTGCCAGAGGCACACTTTCCTGGGGGGAGGGGAGTAGGGGAGTGAGGGACTCACTGTGCAATTTAGGAGCTAAGTTCTTTGAAACGCAATTCCCTAATTTTAAGACCTATTTTACGCAAATCAGCAGTCGTTATCTTTAGACAACAATTTAAAACGTTTGATTCCAATAATGTCTTCAATGCTCTCTTTCCAAAATGCTTGGCCCATAAAAAGAGAAGCTGTGTATACTTTAGTACACTTCCATATATTCATTCACTACCTTAATCGGATCCGATCACAACTTGCATATTTTTTAACACAACTTATTCTATGTTAGTAAACCTTCAAGCGTTTCCAGGCGGTAAGAAGTGTTGTTTCGACGGTAAATTTTACCGCTTACCGCTTGATAAGGAGAACACTGTATAAGTGACCACCTCGCCTAAGTGACCACTAACTCTTCGCATTTGCGTACTGGTCACTTATGGAATGTTTGACCAAAATAACAATATTTATTTCATTATTATCAGCCTCCTAACTTTGAAAATAACTGGTAAAGTGGTAACAATCATCATATCTAAAATTATTATAATAAAAATTTACTTCTGCATGTTTGGCAAGTTTGATCAGATGGTATGGAAAACAAGAAATAATCAAAATAATAAAAGCTTTGGCTTGACTTTAAGTAACACCAACAATACATGTACTGTATCTGGAAATGTGAATTTCAGGAGGCAATTAAATTAACTGTTACATAATAATGTTAATACCTATCATCTCTATGCCGAGATCTGTCATCATGTCTGTCTCCATGGTCCCCATATCGCCTGCCATAGTCTCGCCCACTGTCATGTCTTGATCTTTCATAGCCCCTGCTATCCCCTCTGCTGTCATGGCGACTGAATCATGACAGAAAAAATATGCAAAGGGAAACTTTACTTATAATACAAAAAAGATTGACCTTTGTTTGAAGTAAAATCAAAATTCCAATACTTTTCTAACAAGTGAAAGTAAGACTTAAATAAACAAAAAACCAGATAATAAAGATTAAAAAGACATTATTTATCTACATGTCAAAGTCCTTAACACAGAAGTACTGAAATGTATCTAAGATCATACTATTTTTATATCTCCTGTCAGGGAAGAGACCCCCTTTTCAATATAGTCATCTGAAGTATGTGAAGGTCCAGCTATTTGATCTTCAAATCTAAGTTATTTTAAGACCCTGAGTGCTGGTCTGGCCTGCTACTGCTCTGTAGTCTAGCACTCTACTGACTGGTCATACTTTCAGGGGGAAGGGGAAGGCAATCCCAGAGTAAATGGATATGAATTGAAATACAAGAAATGAATAATTATTTTGAACTCTGGATAAAGATAAGAAAGTAATCATGATCTTCCTAACAGAATGAACAACCTAAGCATAGTGTTCCAGATAAGAGACTAGTCTCGGGTAAATGACCTGACAAAGAAGGCTTCCTGACCTGACAGACGACATATAAGTGTTAAAGTTAAATATAACTAAAAGATTAGCACATGGTCTTGATGAACCCCTCAGATGGTCTACATGACCCCCTGCCTAAAAGAATTAACTGGAACACTGTAAGCAGTTGAAAAAGAACCTGAGAAAATTAAGGCTTGACCAGAAATCAAACCCTGACCTTTGCAATGACTGGATGCAATACCCTATCCATTGAACCTATCAAGCTAACTGAAGAGCAGGCCATTGCGAGTTCATAAGATATCCATTGGTGGAAATGACTTGAATTAAAATATATAAAACGAATAATATTTTGAACTGTGGATAAAGATATGAAAGTGACCATTGCAGTAGAGTGAACAACCTAAGTGCTCGAAAAAGAACCTGAAAAATTTCAGGCTTGCTCTTTGTGATGACCAGGCACAACACTCTATCCATTGAGCTTAACAAGCCAACTGGAGAGCAGGAAATTGTGAATTCGTAATATGCCCGATAGTGGAAATGGCAGAAGATTTTAGGGTACAAGGTCAGGTGTGCAAAAACAGCATTTCTGCACATTTCTTTCACACACAGTGAAATAAATTAACTGAGAAAACCTGGAACACACCATAAGACATATAAACAAACCAAATGAAAACAGATAAACGAACAACCAGAAGGAGAATTATTAATATTTTTAAGATAAGAGCCAGGGTTTCTGGTTGTAATTTGCACTTCACTCATTGTACGTTTTTTTCGGGATATTCCGGGTTTCATGTCCACTTCCAGTGTCACTACAACATGTATTTTTGCTTCTCGATACCTACAACGCATTCAGGCATATGCAACGAAGTGAGAAGGCATTGTAAAATTGTTCCATGACTCATATTACCTGTCTCTGTAGCCAGTGTTTATCCAATCCGTAAGGCAGGGAGGAGAAGCCTGAGGCTTGTTCACTGTCTTCATGTATTCCTCATCTTCGCTCGTAAATCGTTTAGAAAACATCTCTTCGTATTGTGCGACTATTTCCTCAGTTGTTGCCATATTGAGTAACAAGTACAAAGCTAAGTAAGACGAAAAACTGAATTACACCAGCAGAGTTTAGTACAACTGAGCAAGAAAACGGAGAAGACAACGAAACCTCGTGGAATAAACGTGGTTACTAAGCTGGGCCTGGAGGCCGGGCTGCTCAGCCACATGGTAATCCACTGGTGGAACGCGGGTTCGCAGATCACCAAACTTTGTAGCCCGAATGGGCTCATGAGGCCTAAGGCCGAATGGGCTATTGACTCAGAGGCCATGAGGGCAAGAGGAATAATTGTTTTAGTAAAATTCAACTAGTTGGTCAAAAATATCGAGAATAAAAAAATTTTTGCTAGTTAAAGCTAGACTTTAATCCTTTTTTGCCGCCAAAAAGCGCGCGCTTTTCGCTACTAGTAGGCTATAACATATAGCCTAGTGCTAGTAGTAGCTCAACCAATCAGAACGCAGCATTGATAATAGACCACTAGTTGGATTTTACTAATTAGAAATATTTACATTCCCAGGCTGGTCGTTTCCTGATATAGTGCCAAGTTGAAATTTCTAATCCCAGCTGGTTAAAAGCAGCAAACAGAAATTTACAGACCCGAGACCCCCCCGCAAAGTACGTTTTCTTGCTATTTTTTAAATTCAATGCAAGTTTTATTTCAAAATGCAGATACAACAATGCAAATGTTTGAATTTGAATGCGAATTGTTTTTTCTTCTCTTCATAATATAACTGCAGGCCGTAATTTGGAATTTATCCGCACATGCTTTTTCTCTTCTTTCTTTACTAGCCTGGGACCAATTTCCGCAGTGGGGAAAAAGGAAAAACGGGGTACCTCTCAGCTCGCTTCGATTCGCTCGCCGTTTTTTTTTTCCTCCCTCTTTCCACAATGCCGAGCCTGGTCCCAGGCTCGGCTTTCTTTGGTTCGGACGGTAAGAGCGGTCATAAGAATTTGCGCTATGATCCTAAAAGTGAATGCGACTTGGTGCAGCTCCCGGGGCGGGGTGGGGGGGGGGGGTACTTCTGGGAATTCTTGGTGGGGGTGTGTTGTCCGGTTCTCCAAATCCATACCCTATTTTAGACCAAAAAATGTTTTTTCCCAGACCCGTTTTCAGACCAGACCTCTAAAACCCATACCTGTTTTCAGACCTGGCCTTTAGGCAGAAATTATGTCATCATTACTTAGATTAGAGCGCAAACAAAAAAATTCATGGAACCCATTTCGAATTCACATATTTCTCTTTCTTTCTCATCTGGAATTGAAACGATAAATACGTTTATACGCTCTGGCCCCGTAGTTCCTTCGAAAACCATACCCGATTTCAGACCAAAATGGGCAAAGTGTATACCCTTTTCAGACCAAAACGGAACAAAACCCTACCTGATGGGGCGGCACATAATATATAGCTTATATAAGGGAGTACCCCAGCCCCGGGTGCAGCTAGAAAAGAAACCATTCTAGTCATATATATAAAGAGACAACTGTCGGTTTAAAACGGGAAAGTATGAAATCAGTGGGTTAATTTGAAGAGGCTGCCTCAATATTGACTGGTTCAAACGTATTATTTATCAGTAGGAAACAACTGAAAAACCTCAGTGTCCCGTTAACTGGAAACGGCACGTCTCTGGTGCTGGATGCCTTACTTTTGAACAAGATTTAATTTTATTTTCTGAGGCCGGAGAATTAGGTTTAGTAGTTGACAGGAAATGTTCTGACGTGGGAAATGGAATTGCTTCTACAGTTAGCAAGTCCGTTTTGCTATGTGGCATTCATCTTGTCGCGTTGCGTTTAACAGGATGCCTAGGAACTGGATCGTAGAAATCCACAGCAGGAAACAGACGCGCTTAAGTATGTTTCTGTTCGCATGGGGAAGAAGCGGGAATGAAAATGATAGTCAGTAGATGATGCGGTAGAAAATGGACGCTAGTTAGTTAAGTTATTATTCGAACTTTCGCGTTTTTTATCGATCCGTTTTCCCCACTATCTTGGTGCCTGGAACAGGCTTCTTTAGACTTGAAGGAATTTTGGGTGTCCGATGGGACAGAAAAGAAAAAACCTTACAACATCCTACCCGCACTGTTTGCAAGTTAAGGCTCATGGTCCATCTATATTAAATCGAAGTTCCATGCCCTAACAGTGTGCGATAGAATTCCCTTCTCCGCTGGTCATGGAATTGCCAAAATACTGATCATAAATTTTTGCCAATTTTTTTCTTTTAGGAAAGGAAGAATTGTTTTGATTAAAATCATGAAATAAAAAAATAGGGTCGTACTTGTTCTTGCGTTAAACCCGTGCAGAAAGTGTGCAACTCCACTCCGCGAACGGAGGAGTGGGGTGAGTTTCAAAACGGCAACTGTTCCTTAGATTTGCTACTTTTAAGGAAGGTACTAAATTCACTTATGGTTGCGTTTTTATTTTCCGGCTAGTGTGGCTCCGTACGCACGTTAGGTAAAGCGCCTTTTAGGTGTTGACCAAGACCTTGGCTCCATTTCCGCCACTCTCTCGGGGAACTAATTTTTTCCATAGCGAAAGTGTGGCTTCTTGCTGGGNTTTGGGTGTCCGATGGGACAGAAAAGAAAAAACCTTACAACATCCTACCCGCACTGTTTGCAAGTTAAGGCTCATGGTCCATCTATATTAAATCGAAGTTCCATGCCCTAACAGTGTGCGATAGAATTCCCTTCTCCGCTGGTCATGGAATTGCCAAAATACTGATCATAAATTTTTGCCAATTTTTTTCTTTTAGGAAAGGAAGAATTGTTTTGATTAAAATCATGAAATAAAAAAATAGGGTCGTACTTGTTCTTGCGTTAAACCCGTGCAGAAAGTGTGCAACTCCACTCCGCGAACGGAGGAGTGGGGTGAGTTTCAAAACGGCAACTGTTCCTTAGATTTGCTACTTTTAAGGAAGGTACTAAATTCACTTATGGTTGCGTTTTTATTTTCCGGCTAGTGTGGCTCCGTACGCACGTTAGGTAAAGCGCCTTTTAGGTGTTGACCAAGACCTTGGCTCCATTTCCGCCACTCTCTCGGGGAACTAATTTTTTCCATAGCGAAAGTGTGGCTTCTTGCTGGGGATTAATATTGCGATTTTCAGGGAGGTCGTGCCCTCAAAACACTAGTGAAACAACACGAAGAGATGTCACTGTTTGTAAAACATGTTGCCGATAAACAACTTTTCCCTGTTTTTCTCTGACGCTACGGTAGACATTGCCATGCCTATTCCCTGTACGGCGTCTTCCCATGCAATCTCGGTCAAGGCATTTCGGTGGCAAACTCGCTAGGACCACGTGACCCGAAACACATTAGCCGCGCGGAATAATGAGGCCTACGGACAAGGCAACGGCAGACAGTCGTTCCGTACAGTGATCTACAGTCCTTCGCTACCATTCAAAAACACTGGACACGGGAATATTGTTATTGGCCGTTTTCACGCTAGAGCTAGAGATGGATTATCCGTCTGAGACTAGCCTGTGTACAGTCGCGCCCTCCCCACAGACACCCCTTCTCCGATTTTTCCTGAGGGGCGGGGGTGGGGGGGGGAGGGGCTGTAAACAGGCTATCTGGAACGGATATTTCCTTCTTGAAACTATCCGTCGAAATTGACAGGTAAAGTCAGGTGGATTGTTCATTCAAATTTAAAACTATTTCCAGTTTCAAATTAAGACGTATTACCTATCTGACACGAATCAACAAGCGGATAACCCGTCTCACACGAGTAATACGTCTCTAGTGTGAACACGGCCATTTCTGTTATAATGAATGTCGCGCCCCGGCCTTGAGTTGGGCGTTTGCGTGTTCGCTTTTGCTTTTTTCACAAGATTATTTTTAATTTGACTATTGACATTTCTATGTGTAAAATAATATTAGAAGTGAAATGCTTTATAAAAAGTATGATCTATCAAATGTTAAAATTTTTCAAAGAATAGTTTGTTTCATCCCAAGATGATCCGAAGACCTTTATTTCGATTTTAAGATAGAAAAAATACAGGTTAATTAATATTAAACTTTTTGAAACAAAAGAAGTTAATTTTTAACTTTTTTGTTAGCCGTAACTGAAAAAAATTAACCAATAGCCGTAAAAGAGCCGAAATTTTAGCCGATAACCGTAAAAGCCACCACCCCATTGAGACCCTCTTAGTACAGCACAACATCCGGCCCTATATGGAAGCCTCCACCAGGAAGTTGAACATTTCCTAGCCTGCAGAAGCTCATGGTGGCCATCTCGTTATGCGCAGTGTAAAACAAGAGAATCAGCTTAAGTTCGTGACGAAAATGTGAAATTAACTCGGCAACCGGCGAAGCTATGTGCAAAGAGTGTTAGTTGTATTACTATAATAGTCAAGCCAACTAAAGGCACATTATCTTTATAAAGTCGTTGTAGTTTTAGCTTCCCGCTGGCATGGCAATAAATAGTTAAGAATAAAATGGCAAGAAAGAAACAAGACGAATATGTCGAAGAACGTAGGATCTATAAAGACCTGATCAGCATTGCAGTATTCTGCTTGCAGAATTTTATACGTCTACTTTTCATTTTTGCTGATCATATGATCAGGTCTTTATAGATCCTACGTTCTTCGGCATATTCGTTTGTGGTCCTTTGTAGTCCTGTGTACTTTATGTATTCTGGGGCCGTAGATCTTTTATAGATCCGATATGCCGTAATTCTTGCATGGTTTTGTCCATGCTCCATAGGTTGGTTTTGGCCAATTTTTTATTTTCTCTGCGAGACATCAACTTGACACTTGGACTCTTGCCCCCCAGAAGACACCTGGTATGGCATGATTCTGTGGGTGTTGAGAACTCTAGGTCAGGGCTTAAATCAGAGTGCGCGCATATTTTTCACCAGAGTTTTCTGTGTTGTTACGCCATACAGACTAGCCCCAAAGAGAGCGAAACCGCTGTCTATGGCTACAATCCCGCTCTGTTTTTTGAGTTCTTTCGGTGTCGTGTTGATGTCTTGCAGAGTTAATTTTCACGTAGTATGATCAGCATACGTTTTTAGGGGAGTTCGCTTTTCATCCCTCCCCACAAACTGTTTGTTTTTCATCCCCAGTTTGTGGGGAGGGATGAAAGACGAGCTCCCCTAAAAACGCCTACGTGGGAGGCTAGTTATAGCCCCGGATCGCAGTTCATTTCCATTCACCGATTATGAATGTTTATGGCCTCGCGTATCTTGTGTGAAAGCTGCGGTGGTTTTCCTGGCCAACAATCTTTACACTGGTCCAGTCGATAGAGTGGCCTGCGTCATTGGCGTGTTCAGCAGACGTTCATTTAGCCCAAGTACCCAGTTTCCTTGTTGTTTCACCGATGTCAGCTCTGCCTGCATCACAATCCTTGCATTTGATATTGTAAATGACTCCACATTTCTCCTCAACCGCGATCTCACCTTTTAATCCTACCAGGCGTTGACGAAGACTAATGACCGGAGGCTGCGAATAAAAGCAAACGTCATCACTGATGAACGGATCCGTATGGGTTCCGAAAGTTTTGCTAAACTTTCAACAAATTGTTGGTGTTGAAAAATGAGGGGGACATTGGGTGGTACCCAATATTGCAATGCCGTACGAAAAATTGGCAAATACCGAAATACCGTGTCGAAAATGGACGAAATACCGATACCGCATTTATGATCGGTGACGCTTGCTTAACGTTGTATCCATCTCGCGTGTTTTTTTTTTTTTGTTGTTTTTTTTTTTTCTCAAGCATGTATACACCACTATTCAACCTCAGCCTTAGCGACGTGAGAAGATCTCGAATTGATCGGTACAAAGATCGAAAAGCTAGCCTGCGTAGCATGGCGGTTTTGGTTGCTAAGTAATAAAGGCGGGCGAGGGCAGAAAAACCGCGAGGAGATTGGGGCGGGAGCAACTGTTTTTATTTTTCTCGCGGCTTCGCCGCTCGTGCGGCCGGCTCGACAAAACCGCCATGCTACGCAGGCTATCGAAAAGCCAGTTTGGATGTCCTACCACATCATAGAGTAACTGTCAGAAATTGTGTATTCATTTACGGTTAAGTCTAAAGTCCTCCAAAAATTGACCTACATTAGACAGGAGAGGCCAAATGAACAGTACCGCAATACCGTCAAGGATCTTCAATTTTTTACCGAACAACGTTAGCCAGAAGGATGAAAAACCGCATACCGCACGGCTGGATGATACCGCAATACCGCACATTAAATTCAAAATTACCGAAATACCGCTTGAAAAAAAGCTCAATACCGCAATACCGTAAACCCCCATGTCCCCCTCAAGAATATGTTTTGTAATAAGTTGTATGCCTTGGCCCTTGAGGTTTGATTGACGTTGCCGAAAAACCCAAAATCCTTTACTTTTGTTACATTGGTCGCGGGTTATCTAAAAAAAGCTGTAACTTGAGAGATTCGCAAAGTTTGGAGAGATGTGTATTTCTTGAGGTAGTTCTAGTTTTAGCGATATTTATTTACCTACTCACCGACAACTTGACGCAACGTAGTCATTGCGTTACGCAAATTGGAGGTGGGGTTGGGGGATGGTTGGGGGTGTGTACACTTATGACGTCACGCACTTCACGTGCGCGCGCACGTGGTTTCCTTCGCCACGCTACGCGGGTGAGTTTACAGTGATTGCGTAGGTTAACGATTTTTGCCATTGAACAAGAAAAGTTCTTTCTTATGGAGGTTCGGAAATGTTTGAAATCTCCTGAAACATTGGATGATGTCGTGAAAGGTCTTCATGTTCTTTTTGAGGACGACCATGTGAATGTTGAAGAGGTTATTTCGTTTTTATCATCGTATCGTTCAAACCCCGCGGATTGGGCGAAGTACGCAAATTATGATCCTCACAGGTGGGGCGATGACATTATGTTGATCATTTGTGTGTTTATTAAGTCTTAATCGAAGTCTATAATCTAAAAGTGTTTTGATGGTGTGATTAAAAAATTCTTCAGGTACACAAGGAACTTGGTAGACGAAGGAAATGGCAAATTTAACTTGATCGTGTTGTGCTGGGGAGAAGGTCAAGGCAGGTTAGTCCAATTACGATTTACCTGCCAAATGTAAGCTCATCTTTTTTCAAGAATCTTTGCCTTCGTTAAAATGATAGAAATATCAAAAACCGAGTGACCAAATTGTTTAGGAAGTTGTGCGATACACACTTATTTGAGCTATAATTATGTAATATGCAAATTGCTACAAATTAATGACGCAACCGCGGAATTCGAAGTTCCCGCTAATTAGAACAGTTTGCCTCGGAAACTTTGCGCTTACGGAGATATTATAAGCTTAAGTATTTCACTTTTTATTAGTTTATCGTTTAGACATTAGATCCAAGTTTATGGCCAAACCACAACAATCTCTTGATCACTAATGATTTTTCTTGTGCACAAGTGAACTGGGAAGTAATATTGTTTTGTTGAAGAGTCCTGTCCACTCAAGGGAGTCAGTAACGTAACCAGCATTAAAGTCAAACCGGGAAAACCATGAGCACCAGAAATAATTCTGGAAAGTCATTTTGTTGCAAGAAAAAACCAATCAGTGGTGAGAAAACTAAACCACAAGCAAGAAGTAATTAATGCATGGTTTTGTTGCAAGCTCATGTGTCCTTATCTTTTGTCGTAACACAATGAACATTATTTTCTGAAATATTTGGTAAGATTTCTATCTAACCCCATACATTTATTATGCATGCAACAATTTCATACTTTTTCTCACAAATAGTTAATGTGGATGGATTCGAAACATGCAAGGGTAATGAAATTAATGTATGGGTTCACGGTTTTTGACGGTTTGACTGTAAGTTATGGAAACACTTTTACTTGGGTTAGAGACTAAAGTGAGTGCTTAACCTGCACTTGCTGAAGTATGAATGGGTAATATCCGCTATTGACCAAGTGTGTGGTCAAGATTGATAGATATTGGCCAATGTGTTTGTCCTTCCTTAAAACTGCAAAAAATAGAGGGAAGCCAATATCAGTAAATTTGTTAAAAATAAACATGGTGAGACCTGGGACTCATCTTTTGATAAATCATGAGTCCCAGTCCAGAACCAATGAGTTAAAAAAAAGTGCCTGAAATCAAAATACTTGGGCCTTTATGTAACCAGACAGTTATAATCTGAAGTCAGACTTCAAAACTCAGTATTACAGTGTACTGAACAAATTAAAATATAGTCCTTCTATTTTAAAGCACAACAAAGACTAAAAGAAATATTCATTGTTAAACAATATCCATAATAGCCGCCTCAGAACTTACACAAACAGGTCGGATATTTCTACAAATGCAGATATTCAGATCAATTGATTGATCTTTGTGTCCTACGAGACGCATGTCATGAATAAATTATTTTGCATCTTTGGGGATTTTATGCATCAGAGACACAAGACAAAGAGGCAGGGGTTTCAATAAATATTGAAGTAGGCAGCAGGTTTGAATAGAGTAACCGACTGTATCAAAAAGGGGCTGTTGGACCCCGTTTATTAGGGGGGGGGAGGGGGTCTGGGTGCCTTCTGCCTCAGAAAAACTTTGAAATTCCAAAGCCCTAAAACGCGATTTTCAGTATTTTGGGGACTAAATTTGAGGACGAAAGAGCGTGTTTTTCATTAAAGAAAAAGTAGCTTTCAATTTATCAGTCAAATTAATTCCTAGAGGCAATGGACAAATGATGGAAATTAAATAATATTAAGTACTTTTCCACGTAAACAAATTTTGCGTAAACCTATAAAGAAACTTGTGAAAAAATGACTGAATTATAGCATTCACATGACTAAAGCATAACGTCAAACCAGTGGGCCTTTCGGAAAACAAATCATAACTACATTTTCATTCAGATTTTATGATATATTTTTGTTTACAACGTTATTCAAACTAGTTGCTTCTTCTTTCCAGAAAAAAGTAGCCGACCTTAATGTGTAAAGTAGCCGACTCGTTTCGTCGGCAGTTGGCGCTTATTGAAACCCCAGAAGAGGTAACAAAATCACTGCAATATAAAGAATTTACAGCCACCTTGACAGAACAAGCTTGGTCAATTAAGAATTTACTATTTCACATTTACCGGTATCCTTTAAGACCATAACAAGACAATGGCATTTGCTGTCATGAAACAACATTCACAGGGTCTGCTTTCCCTTGGCTATTGCTGGAATGGTTTTCTTACATGCTGTCTCAGAGCCTTTGCACTGATTGCTGGTTTCTGCTATTCATTCTACTCTCACATTTCATTGGCTCAGACAAACTGTTCCATTTGTCTTTAATAGTCCAGTTTCAATTTCATCACCGCTGCTGAATAGAAGCACTTAAGATCCATTTATACAGGGTTAGCCTCACCATAAAGTAAAATATTCACAAATTCCCAGCAAGGAGGTGCCTTAATGTGAGTTTAAAATGATAGACACAGCTGTACGCAGATCTTCTTCTGACTGGAATTTGTGAATATATTACCTTAGGTTGATGCTAACCGTGTATAAATGAGTCTACAGTGCTTCTATTCAGCAGCCACGACCAGTTTGAAACACTGGTAGGGGTCTCAACAAAAGCTCTGTCTGGTTCTGTCAGACAAGTAGATTTTCTTGCTGGGTAGGTATATTTTCAAGCTCACTGCCCCAATGGGCAAGGGTCCAGGCAACAAGTCATCTTTTAACTAAAATCATTAGCTAAGACAAGCGAACAATGGCCCTAGGCAAGCAAACTGTGAGGGCTGCTTGTCCAAATACCGCAATACCGTCAAGGATCTTCAATTTTTTACCGAACAACGTTAGCCAGAAGGATGAAAAACCGCATACCGCACGGCTGGATGATACCGCAATACCGCACATTAAATTCAAAATTACCGAAATACCGCTTGAAAAAGAGCTCAATACCGCAATACCGTAAACCCCCATGTCCCCCTCAAGAATATGTTTTGTAATAAGTTGTATGCCTTGGCCCTTGAGGTTTGATTGACGTCGCCGAAAAACCCAAAATCCTTTACTTTTTTTACATTGGTCGCGGGTTATCTAAAAAAAGCTGTAACTTGAGAGATTCGCAAAGTTTGGAGAGATGTGTATTTCTTGAGGTAGTTCTAGTTTTAGCGATATTTATTTACCTACTCACCGACAACTTGACGCAACGTAGTCATTGCGTTACGCAAATTGGAGGTGGGGTTGGGGGATGGTTGGGGGTGTGTACACTTATGACGTCACGCACTTCACGTGCGCGCGCACGTGGTTTCCTTCGCCACGCTACGCGGGTGAGTTTACAGTGATTGCGTAGGTTAACGATTTTTGCCATTGAACAAGAAAAGTTCTTTCTTATGGAGGTTCGGAAATGTTTGAAATCTCCTGAAACATTGGATGATGTCGTGAAAGGTCTTCATGTTCTTTTTGAGGACGACCATGTGAATGTTGAAGAGGTTATTTCGTTTTTATCATCGTATCGTTCAAACCCCGCGGATTGGGCCAAGTACGCAAATTATGATCCTCACAGGTGGGGCGATGACATTATGTTGATCATTTGTGTGTTTATTTAATCTTAATCGAAATCTATAATCCAAAAGTGTTTTGATGGTGTGATTAAAAAATTCTTCAGGTACACAAGGAACTTGGTAGACGAAGGAAATGGCAAATTTAACTTGATCGTGTTGTGCTGGGGAGAAGGTCAAGGCAGGTTAGTCCAATTACGATTTACCTGCCAAATGTAAGCTCATCTTTTTTCAAGAATCTTTGCCTTCGTTAAAATGATAGAAATATCAAAAACCGAGTGACCAAATTGTTTAGGAAGTTGTGCGATACACACTTATTTGAGCTATAATTATGTAATATGCAAATTGCTACAAATTAATGACGCAACCGCGGAATTCGAAGTTCCCGCTAATTAGAACAGTTTGCCTCGGAAACTTTGCGCTTACGGAGATATTATAAGCTTAAGTATTTCACTTTTTATTAGTTTATCGTTTAGACATTAGATCCAAGTTTATGGCCAAACCACAACAATCTCTTGATCACTAATGATTTTTCTTGTGCACAAGTGAACTGGGAAGTAATATTGTTTTGTTGAAGAGTCCTGTCCACTCAAGGGAGTCAGTAACGTAACCAGCATTAAAGTCAAACCGGGAAAACCATGAGCACCAGAAATAATTCTGGAAAGTCATTTTGTTGCAAGAAAAAACCAATCAGTGGTGAGAAAACTAAACCACAAGCAAGAAGTAATTAATGCATGGTTTTGTTGCAAGCTCATGTGTCCTTATCTTTTTGTCCAGGCAACAAGTCATCTTTTAACTAAAATCATTAGCTAAGACAAGCGAACAATGGCCCTAGGCAAGCAAACTGTGAGGGCTGCTTGTCCAAAGAAAATGTTGGAATTAATTTTTTTTTTAAGCCCTTGCATTTCAAAAGTAATGTCTTAGGAAACTACCCAAATTATTGGACAGTTTTCCAAAATGGAAGGGTAACCACTTTTATCGGATTAATTAACGGACCATCATACAGGTTTTAGTCACCCAAAAATATGTTTCCTTTTTTGTACAGCTCCATTCATGATCATTCTGATGCTCACTGCTTTCTAAAAGTACTTGATGGAAGACTTAAGGAAACTCAGTTTGCTTGGCCTTCAGAATCTGAGCCGGAAAAACCTCTGGAACCAATTGCAACAAGGTTTCAGGAGACAAATGAAGTTGCATACATTAATGGTATGATAAATTGTCATTTGTGCATAAAACAACAGCAAGCTGACAAAAATGTTAAATCCCATTCACACATCATATCACTTGTAACAAAAAAAGATAAAAATGTCTAAACTTTATACCGTAAATTCTCGAATTAGTGCCCTCCTTCAAAAAGGCGAGGCTAACAATTTTAATAAGCTCCCCTTCAAATATGCACCCCCAACCCTCCCCTAAGAGAGATAAAATTACTGAATGCATTATTCAATTTAGAAGGAACTCAATATCTTGAACTTAAGAGGACAGGTTGTCAGAGGAAACAGGATTATTATTGTAACCCTACTCCTCAGATTACAAAATGAATGCCTCCTTTGGATTAGTGCCCCTCTCTTGACTCAGAAAATTAAAGATGTGCCTAGGCACTAACATTAGTGTTTATGACTGTAATAATCAAAATAACAATTATTAATAGTTTTATTCTTGTAGATGTACCGGTATGCAAATTAATTATTGGGACACTTCTGCTTATTTTTTGCTGACAGACAGCATAGGTCTTCATCGTGTGGAGAATGTTAGTCATACAAACACAGCTGCGACCCTTCATGTTTATATCCCAGCTTTTGACATGTGTCAGTCTTTTGACCAGCGCACAGGTCACAAACGCAAATGTCAAGTGACTTTCTGGAGCAAGTATGGTGTCAGAACACCTTATGTAAGTTTCCCTAAGTTAGATCTTGACTCTGGTCAGTTCTAAAAGTCATTGTGATCAAAGCCTTGTAGTCTGCAAATGCATTTGTCTCTCCTCACCCCTCACTGCTAGAGGTTTCCGCAAAAGGCATTAGTGGCAAGGACCAGGGAGAGATGGCTCTAGATCTATTTGAAAATGTTTTCATAAACATCTGCTTTCTCCTAAGATTATTGAGCAAGCTGCAGAATATACTGTAAGGTATCAGTGCTGTGTTGTAATGTTCCATGGTGCTTGTCTAGCTCAAGCATTGAATGTTTGAGCACTGTTGCTTTATGTAATGTTAACTCTTTTGAGCAGAATATCTTGATCTTTCAATGATTCACAGCTGTAATCTTGTATCTTGTCGTAGAAACCAAGTTCTTGTTCATAAAGATCCAAGAGAAAGAAGGGTGCATTGGAGTATACAGGGTGTTTCATGATGTATATTTTTCCTGTGATGTGGAACTCTAAATACTAAACACAGCTACTGCTTTCATTCAAAGGAGTATCTATTATAACAGTCTTCAAATACATGTATATTTTCTTATGACGCTGGCATGTTTCAAATGCCTAATTTTATTGTTCTTTGTACAGCCTATTGTATTGCTCTGTAACGTAGATAATGAAAAGCCACATTAAAAAACAAAGGTTGGATCAGTCTGGCTTGGCCAGGTGTGGTAAAAAGAGTACCATTAATGGGAGAGACGATAACAATGCTTGTCGATAAATCTGTTTTTTCAGAGCCAGTTATATTTTTGGCAATTGCAACTTGACAAAACTCAAAGGGATCATGTAATCATGAATTAGTTAAGGCTGGTGTAAGGAGGGGTTATGCCGATTTCTCCCCGTTCGAGTGCGCCCCATGACTTATCCTTCACAGAGTGACAAACCCAGTAATAAAATGACATCTAACCATTTTGAGTCAGTTTTTTTAACCCTTATCTCGATTGTAATCGAGGGTTGGACTCCAGCAGGGAGAACGCGACGGGAGCGCAACCGGCTGTTTGCTAAGGGAGACACCTCTTTAAGACGAAAACTTGGTCTTCTATTTATTAAGCCCTTCTGAACCGCCACCCAGTTAGCTTAGAAGCTTAGATACGTGCTGATCTGCTGAGCGGGAAGCCGTTGGTTTAATTCGCCAACGGTTGATCTGTTTAGTCTTCTCAGATAAGGACGATAAACCGTAGGCCCTGTCTTGCAACCCTTCAGCATAGTTAATTGAGTGGAATGGTTATGAAACCCGTCAGAGTCCTTTGTTATATGTTTTTGTGGACCTGAAAGTGCACAACGTTCAAAAGAATTCCTATCATTTTGATTGTATCGACCAATAAAAACGTTGCATTAATTTATTCCGTAACAGTTTGCCAACAGAAAACAAAGGATTGTGCACTTTCAGGGTGCTTCCAACATAAACTGCAGCACTGTTGTTTTTATCATTGATGTTTGCCGCTTTTCATAACNTTAACCCTTATCTCGATTGTAATCGAGGGTTGGACTCCAGCAGGGAGAACGCGACGGGAGCGCAACCGGCTGTTTGCTAAGGGAGACACCTCTTTAAGACGAAAACTTGGTCTTCTATTTATTAAGCCCTTCTGAACCGCCACCCAGTTAGCTTAGAAGCTTAGATACGTGCTGATCTGCTGAGCGGGAAGCCGTTGGTTTAATTCGCCAACGGTTGATCTGTTTAGTCTTCTCAGATAAGGACGATAAACCGTAGGCCCTGTCTTGCAACCCTTCAGCATAGTTAATTGAGTGGAATGGTTATGAAACCCGTCAGAGTCCTTTGTTATATGTTTTTGTGGACCTGAAAGTGCACAACGTTCAAAAGAATTCCTATCATTTTGATTGTATCGACCAATAAAAACGTTGCATTAATTTATTCCGTAACAGTTTGCCAACAGAAAACAAAGGATTGTGCACTTTCAGGGTGCTTCCAACATAAACTGCAGCACTGTTGTTTTTATCATTGATGTTTGCCGCTTTTCATAACCAGTCTCCTCTAATAACTATGCCTTCAGTAATAAATTCTGTGGGAGAACCCAACATTGGTCGTTGGGGACATACCCAGTGTGGTGGTCTATCTCCTCTTCACATTCACATTAGGGGGAATTGATAACTCATTACTTCATCAAACTGTAAACTGCACCATATTTAAGCAGTCTGGCAAAAGTCCCCCAACCACGGTTGTACATTCAAGTTATCCCTGTAAAGCTATGAGGGAAGTAGCCGTATAGTAAGATCCAGTCGATTCGAACCTCCCGTATAGTCGACCACCCAAAAAAGTGGTCACTCACGAGAATTTCTTTGGGGATGAGTTTCAGACATTTCGCGGGGAAAAACTAGCAGTGGCGTCGCGTAATGTTGGCTGTTAAGCTACATGCAACATATGGATTCTCTACCAACTTGTGTTTTGCTGTATAGTTAGCCTGTTTAGACTTTCTGATAACGAGAACGCTGATTTTAGGTAGCTATGTCGGCACAGAATCACTGGTTTCTGCCCTACCATGCTCAACGAACCAGGGTTCTCAGTTGTGCCAGTCGGAGAAACTTCAAACTGCAGTGGTGAAAAGGGGATACAAAAAATTCATCGAAACCAGCATTCAAGCTGGACCACTGTGTCAGAGAAGGATTTTTCATAAGTCAGCGATAATCAAATCACGTCATGGTAGAAGAAGTTCAGTGCTCTTACCCCAATCCGCCGTACAGTAAAAGATGGCTGCTGTACATTTTACCACAATTCCTTTCGAACCTAACACGGCCAATTACACATAAAGTCATATTTTGGTGGGGGGGGGAGGGCGAAATTCGTCCCTGTAATAGCAACATTGCCTATCCTAGGTTTGAAGTTTATAAAACTTTTCTGTGCGTGTTTATGAGTAATTTTATGGTTTTCATCATCGCTAAGAACTGTGGGTAAATGTACCAGTCGCCGTCTTTTTAGGTACGGTGGAATGAAATTGTACCACTACACGTCAGCAAAATCATAGCTAGGCCGCACGGAATAATAAAACTAGGCGTAGGCAGTAAAGGCGCTAGGTGGAAAAAATATACACACCAGACTACCTTTGGACCGGAATTAAGTATCTGTCTTGAGGAGGTGACAGGCTCATAAAGAGTGAAATGTGAAGAACGGCATGGACCTACTCTAGGTGTCCATCGTAGGGAGTGGTACGCCTCATAAAGGCGTCTCTAGGAAAGATCAGAGTTGACTGTACTGTCGTAGATCGTAGAGTACTGACAGCGCAATGATGTAAACTCTTTCCGAAGCTCTCGGAGATGTCCGTCTCAATCGGGGAAAGAAGACCACGTGGCGCGGCCAGGAAACGGGGGAATTAAGCGTGCGAGCTCCCAACACTTGCATACCAAGTAGCGTGGCTGGCTAGTGACAGTCTTGTAGCAACAGAGCCCTTTTCAGTTTCACATGAAGAGGTGTCCACAGTGAGGTGCCAGCTTTAAAACAGTCGGTGGACAGTCTAGAAGGAAAAGATAAAAAGCGGTAACGGCTTGCTCTTCTGGCAATGGTGACTTTCAGCCCGGGATAAGCGACCTGGACGACATGTAGAATTTGCACGAAAGTTATGGAATTAAGGGAATGCTTTGCTTTTCAGCTTTAAGTACAAAAAGGGATCTTACTCGTTAATCTTACACTGCGGGCAGAGGCCGCTCGATCTTCCAGGGTAGTTTAAACTCTGCATGCTTTGACGGAAAACTGTCAGGGCGTACAAAGCAAGTCATGCGAAGGCTCCTGTAATGCAAGAGGAATTTTTCTAGCGAATTCTAAAAGCAAACCAGTTTCAATACTGAAAGATTTTCTTTGCAACCTCTTAGTACTTCCAAGGGCGTTGTTACACCAACCAATGCACAAGGGTATACTGAGGCACCGAGGCACCCAATTTGTCTTACTCAAACAACTAATCTTTTTTCACCCTTCTGTCGACTTTTATCTTTAACTGAAGGTAAACAAAGCAGCGAGTGGATGTATTAAAACGAGAACTGAAACTTGTTTAATACAGGTGGTGCGTCCTGGCGGGTGTACTTTTGGGCAATCGTCCCCTGCTTTTGGGTTTGAACTGAACGCCAAAAACTATAGAGCCGCTCTAGAATGCAGGCATTCACCGTTTTACTCTCCTTTCAACTGGTGTTACTAAGTTAGAATTTTCAACAGACGCTATAGCACTGACCCATAACATCGTTCCATGCATGAAGCTTGCGATCATACTAGCATAAAATCTATTGATGCAAGACGCCACGGCCTTCTCTAGCGGGAGTAGGTCTTCATTGTTGAATCTACAGTTTATGCTTTTTCTATCTTAAACGGCCCTACTTCGGGCTGAAATGTCCTTTGCTGCAAATTTCTTGAACAGATACAATCTCTATACAAATAACCCGATTATTACAAAAGTGATCTAAACAATTTACCGCGATTCGCAAGCCCTCCAAGCCCTCATAAATGAAATCAGACTTCATCTTGATTTCCTTAAGTTCATCAAATCCCTCTACTTATTTCTGTGCTCATAAAAATAGGCTTTAATCTTCCGTGATAGAAAAACGCCGACTGTAAACGAAATGTGAAATGAAATTTAGTAAAGTGCTAATTATACCGGTGAAATTTTTTAAGTCAGCGTAAACAGGGGCCCTGACCGTAAAGATGAAGTTTTGATAAACACAAATTCTTATTGTTTCGCGGCTCTTTTATGCCATTTGGTGTGGAAAAAATATACTATGGCGACAAATCTTGACTTGATCTTCTAATTTCAAAGCATATGCAAGAGTAAAAGGAGCAATGCATAGGATAAAACAAAAACAGTTCCTTGCCCAACCATTTTGACTTCTGTCTGTTTAAGAGAGCAGCAAGGAATGTTTTCGCGCGTGTCCAAATTCACCAATAACAATAGACGTATTATAAGGCATCACTGAACGTGACCAATCACAATGCCCCTTTTATGGGTAGTGCGAGTGGAAGACGAAGGAGACATCTCATCTCCAAATCAATTCTTCAAAATTTGGATTGGCAGAAGGCTCGTGTA